ATATTAATTTAAAATAATAAATTTAGCATCTTGTTGACGGTTGATGAGAGTTGTCCCATTGAACAACTTGACTCTGGCTTCGACTCGCAATTTTAATCCCGCATAAATAAGACTCCCGAAGCTTAAAAACCGACGAGGAAAAGAAGCGATCATATAAACCAAACAAGCTGATTATCTTCATTGTTCCCTATAAGGGCTTCAGCAAAATTCGATAGATCTGAGGCGTTATATAAACTTCATTGTGTACGCACGAATACAATGTTGTTTCCGTATCGTGTTTCAAAGGTACTTGACACGAATAATTGTTATTGTATTATCTATCACACAACCATGCATAGAGAGCCACATGTCTATCGATCATCCTGAAAAGTCAGCAGGTACATAGCTGTTACAACTGTGGATTAGACTCACAAGCCAAAGGGATATATATCACACCGTGAGAAGTATATACCCAGTTTCAATTTCTTTCTCTATTATGCACCCCATACCCATCCCGTGGGCGGTGGTGTAAAGGGTTACAGAGGCACATAATCAGTTCAGGAACTGAACCCTCTAGTTCGTTTAGCTAAGCAAATAACAATTTTTGACGCTAGTTACACAATTATTCAGTTTCTTGGTGTATATATACACTGAAAATATACTTTAGTTCTGGACTACTGTAGGACTAATGTATATTTTTCTGGCTTGTCAATAAGCTATTGTGTAAGCTTGATAGCGCTCCGGAGGTTGATAGACACGCTAAGCCCAAGACAGTGCCAGACGGAAGGTTTATCAGTAACAACGACTACAAGTCATTGTAATTCTGGCTGTTTAAAGAAGCGTTTGACAACATACGATCAATTTGATTAACATAGCCAAGTAATAATCACAATTTATTATAATTTTACATTATATATATTAGTAAAATGGGTAGTATCAATAGAATTGCTAGTAAAAGTAACATAAAAAGTCTAAGCTCGATTTTATGTAGTTATAGGATGTGATATATTTGCTAACGTTAACTGAGTATATTGTATAATATACACATCTTGGCACAACGGTTTGCATCACCGTTATGGAATGTAAACACATCAAGAATTCGCATATCTCATCACTAATGTTTGAGGAAATGATTAGAAACTTCATTCAAATTGATAAACTAAGATTTCTAAGAGTACAAAGATTGCCAGCTGTATGGAGCACCTGCCTGTGGCTGTAACCTTTACGTCGCTGTAAACAGCCAGCTCACTATAAAGGCCAATAGCTTAGCTTGAAGATCAGTGGGGTCCGATTTCTTCAACTTTATATTTGATCCTAACCTTTGTGCCACACACCCATGGGATGAATATGGAGTCCTTAATGAACTAGTCAAATTAAACATGAAATTGTGTGTAAATATGTATAGGGCAAGTCTGGCTATGGTTGTATAAGCTGAGGCTGACCCCAACCTGTCCTCAGGCAACAGCTACGGCCTGTTGGACCAAGCTTGGCCTCGGGCCGGGCTTGGGGAGTAGAACTCCCAGAGCCCCATCAACCAGGTATCAAGCTGTGCTCGCCCAAACTGAGGCTAACAATTCAATTTCAATTTCTTTCTTTACCATGCACCCCATACCCATCCCGTGGGCGGTGATGTAAAGGATTACAGAGGCACATAATCGGTTCCCCAAAGACGCTTTCAAATTTTCTGAATTTTATATATGAAATCGTCATTTTTTTCCAATATCAAGTGTTATTATATAATTTCGTGTATAGTTAGGGCAAGGTTAGGTTAGGCGTGTTGGGAATTATTTGTATTTTCGAAGGTGCGATTCGAGCACCTTTGTTAATATCCCCCCTAAACCCCCTCCCCCCCCCCCACATGAACTTTGGCTTACGGCCCAATAGTTCCGCCTCCAACGCTTCTCGTCAACTGAACAATGAAATCACATTAACGAAATATTTCAATAAGTTTGCTACATCAAATTCATGTATACATGAAACGCATATGAGCCTCAGTTAGAAGCCTCAAATCCCCCCCTAGAAGGATTCAATGGAATCCCACACAGCATTGTTTTTACCGCGTCGTGGTGCAGTGGTCTAGGGCTTTTTGAACCCAAGTGAGCGGGTTCGAATCCTCCTCCCGACTCCTACTGATTTTCTCACTGATACATGACATTAATGTCATTTCATTGAGCACATTCTAGTACGTAATAATGTTACCTTATATATGAGTGAAAAAAAAATTGAATATACAATACATTAAAATTTATGAATGTGTCTTTGGAGTTGGCCTCAGATTGGATGAGCATGCGAATGCGTTGATGAGTTGAGTGTAAAGTGTTTATGAGTTGCGTGGTGACCACCGGCCAGGTCGGACGCTCCTGAGGTCTCTCCGCACTGGCTAGTGTTTACGTTGGGTGATTGCTTGTTTGCCCTGCTGGTGGTGGTTTGCCACTGACAGGGTGACGTTTGCCTTCGCCATGGGGTCATCTCGCCCTCCAGTGCAGAGGACATTGTCGGCTGGTCTAGCGTTTACGGTGCCGGTGGACCATCCATTGGTTGGTGTCGCCCTGGTGGACGTGCTTCATGTGCAGCTGTCGGACCTGGTGGGCGTCCAGCTGCTTCAGGGCAACCGTGCTGTGGTCAAGTTCCGCCTCCAGGCTGCCTTTCAGGTGTTTCTCGAGCGTTGTGAGGGGCGTGTTTACCCACTCCCTGATTCAGCTGGCTCAGTTAAGGTGGTGAATCTTAGTGTCACCTTGACGTCTGTGGCGGTGCATGGTGCCCCCTTCGAATTTCAGGACGACTTTTTAACCTCCTGTTTTGAGCGATTTGGGACCGTGTTAAGTGTTCGTTGGAACAAGGTCGTTGCCGGGCACTGTGTTGGTATGCTTGACGGCTCCCGCACCCTGACGATGTCGCTGAAGTGTAGTGTACCGTCGTCGATGTCCGTGTTGGGTTACACGCTCCGCTGCTTGTACCGGGGTCAACCGCGCACCTGTTATCGGTGTGGTCACGAGGGTCACCTGGCTGCGGCGTGCGACGTGGGTGCAGCTGGTAGGGTGCATGTTTTTCGTGCAGAGGATTTCCCGCCCTTGTTACGTTCGGACGGTTCTGAGGATGGAGTAGGTGCTGTGCCTGAGGCGCCTGATTGCCTGTCTGCTGCTCCGCCTGTTGGGGCGAGTTCTACGGCGACACGTCAGGTGACTGCTATGGCCCCTGGGGTTGTTGAGCCGGTGTGTGTGGGTGTCGGGCCGTCGCCTGAGCTGCGTGTAGTGAAGGATGTCTCGGTGGAGGTCCATGTCCCGCCCCCGCCTGTGGATGTGATACCGGCTCCCGGGGACGCGGGTTCTGCTGTTTTAGAGGGGGTGCTTCGGCAGGGGGAGGTGCCTGCCGTGCCTGTGTGTGTTGGTGAGTGTAGTTCTGCTCTTTCCGTCCCTTTGCAGAAGCGTGCGCGTCGGTGTTCTGAGGCTGTTTCCCTGGATGATGTGGACAGTGTGGGTGATGTGGCCTCTGTGGACTCTTCGGACGGTGCGGGTGTGGCCTGTGTGGATGTAAAGATGGTGGCCGTGCCTGCGGCGGGGCCTGCTGGGCGTGGTGTGGTGAGGCCTGTCTCGAAGCGTTCACGGCGGGCTCGGAGTGTGTCTCCCCTTCGTGGTGTGCCTTGGGAGGAGGTGGGGGAGTATGGTAATCTGGCGCCCCCCGCCGAGAATGGTGGTGCTGTGAGGGGCTCCGACGTTGCTACCTGTGCCTCACCTCCTGCGTCTCCTGCTGTTGGATCTCCGCAGTGGGGGGTTGTCCCTGCTGATCGGGACCTCGTCGTGATGTTGCGGAAAGATGTGCGCCAGAGGGCCTCGGCTCCTGTGCCCGGTGGTGGGGTCGGTGCCGCGCCTGCGTCCCCTGCTGTATCCCCTCCTTCCTTGCTCCAGTCTGGGGATTGCCTAGTCCCGTCTGCTGGGGTCGTGCCCTGTGAGGGTCCGGAGTTGGGCCCTTATCGGGATGCCCGGGTGCTTCCGATCCCGTGGTGCTCGTCCACTATCTGGGTGTCGCGGGTGAAGGAGTTTGTGTATAGGGTGCCGGATAGGATGTCTCAGCCGAGGGCGCCGCCTGGTGGCCGGCTGCCCGCTGACCTGCGGGTGATATGGGAAGCGTACTGCTTGCGCTTTCCGATACACAAGTTTCCGGAGAAGTATTAGTTCCCGTCTTGCGCACGCTGCTAAGCCGTGCATGGATCAGCTGCCACCGTGATCACGACGCCCCGCCCCCCGGTGCGGGGAGTCTCCCTCTAACGTTCGCCTCTGTTTTCGTCGCCTCTCCTCTCTCTACGGCCCATCACATCTACCGCTTTTGACTTTCTTCTCCTCCTGACCGTCAACGCGTCTCCTTACATCTGTCCTGGTGCAGTCATCGGGAGGGTTACCCCTTCATGCAAACTGCGCCTATTCTCAAGAAGAGAAAGTGTTTATCATCCTTAAACGGGGGGGAGGGGGGGGGGGGGGAATAACGAGCATTTGCCCATTGTTGATGAGGACAGGCTGTATATATGAGGACGGACTGCTCATTAATGTCTAGCTATCGAGTCAGCTGTTTGGGATAAGGTTACGGAAGTAATCCATGAGTGAAGTTGTTCATTGCATTGCGATGCTAACTAGTTTCGAGGAATGTACTTCAATTCTTGAGCCCTGGTTCAGAATATTGGCTAAATGCCCATTAATCCAGCCGTCGACCCCCAGACGTTATCCAGCTAATGGATTTTACTTGCATATCCAGTTAACTGAGCACTGTCATAAAATTAGCAGCGATTCCTATAACTAATCCAGTCAATCGATTCCAATCACTAATCCATACATAATAACTAACACAGTAGAGAATGATATTTTGCGGGATATATATATTATATTTATAATACAGTACAGGTTACACAATCAAGTATATTGACCTCTAATTATTGTTTTGGATTTGCGTGTGTGGCTCTCAGAGTTACAGGCTTCGCATTACGTGATGCCGGGATCTAATTATTGTATTTTGAAACTTTCTTAATACAGCAGAAGTAGTAACGTTCATCAGGAAAACGAGACGACTTCGGTCGGCTAACACCAACTGGTTAATATGTCTGACCTTAGTCAGTTGACTCTGTTTTGTACAGTGCGAATTGAATGCCGACGATCAATCCGGTGCATCTCTCGGGACTTACAGGGGTCCCTGTGACACCCACAACTAGAGCGAGTAGATGTTTGTGGGCAAACTAAGCCTGGCGATTGGAAAACATGCAGTCCCGAGTATATTGAGGTCTAGAGGGCACCTGAACAGAGTCGAACCCCCTGTATTATATGTGGTTCAGAGGACCATAGTGTGAACCCTACCCCCGAAACCCATCTCTTTGTGGAGGTTTGGTTCGTGGGACCCACAATTGAATCGACCCCTGAAGGTTTGGTTCAGGCTATCCAACAAGTGAATTGACCCCTGGAGATTTGGTTGAAGGGTTCCACAAGCAATCCAAACCTGTAAAAAGTTTAGATAATCGTAAAAGTGATCACTAATCACCATGGCCGAAGTGGAAGACATTAGCGTGGCTGGATGCTCATTGACTGATGACCCAGAGTCAGACGACGACAACAAGGGCCTGGCGGAGGAGAGCGAGGAGGTGGGTACCAAACTCCTGTTTGACTTAAATATCTATTGAGACCTTACGATGGAATCGAACCCAGGATCCCTTCCCTGAGATCTGGCTTCAACAAACGTTTCATATGCATCGTCCTTCGAAACCTGTACATCTTTCCTCATTCATGCCGGCTTAGTTTGCACTTATTCAACAGTTGATATACTCGGAAGTGTCTCAACCCAAGGTTATATTATTGTTGTAGATAACCTCGTTGTGCTTCGCAGCTCAAAAGTGTTTAATATACGTAATCGAAGCAGCCATGAATACGGAACGATGATCAGGTTTCATAAGAAGTCGAGTAAATGTTTTCAGGAATCCTGACCCTGATTTGCTCAGGGAATACATAATACCGACTCAGGACCGCAGGTTCGATTCAATTGTATGACCTGAAATTTATATGTAAATTTATCACGGTTTTATAATTTCGTTATATTTTAATTACCTTGTTTGATTGTAAATTAAAGAGGCTTTTTGTTCTAATTAAGTGTTTATGGAAAAGTGGTGCAATTAAGTGATTGCTGGGAAGTGTTGGAATTACGTGATTGTGGGAGAATGTTATAGTTAAATGATTAAGGTTAATCATTTATTAATTAAGGTTAATCTCAAATGATTAAGGCAGGTGTTTACACGCTAATACATATGTTTTACAGGTCATAATATTAAAACTTCTGTTTTACAAATCACGTATATTATCAGGTATTTTAAGTACTTAGGCTAAACATATAAACATGTTTTTGAGTGTGTGCCATATATATAAACAGGTGTTTTATATGTTATAAAAACACGGTTATTTGACACATATTAGATAGTCCATGCGCGGTTGTTTTTCACATTTGCTTCAGATAACAAGAAACTTTAGAAAAATTAGCAGATTTTTCATCTGGTGTTTAACATAGTTATCCCGGATATAATCATGTTTTTTTTTGTTTGTTCAGCATATACTCCTGAGTTTTTGCAAGTGTTAACATTTATAAAGCTCTTTTATCACTCAAACTAATCCTATTTTACATATGATCTAATTGTATATTTTTTCATCTTGCAGGTAAGATAATTGGACTGTTTGTGTGTCTTCAAGTTAGGTAAGTATGTGTTTTACACATCGGTAGAGAGTCAATTTGTACAGCCTTACACACGAGCGCGCGCGTGTGTGTACTCACTTATTTGAGTCTGCAGGATCGAGCATTGATTCTTGGATCCCGCTACTTACCTAGTTGTGCTTGTAGGGGGTTGAGCTCTGGTTCTTTGGGCCCGCCTCTCAACTGTCAATCAATCAACTGATTTTTTTCCTCACACACACACACACACACACACACACACACACACACACACACACACACACACACACAGGAAGCAGCCCGTAGCAGCTGTCTAACTCCTAGCTACATATTTACTGATAAATGAACGACGTGAAACCTTCCAGCGAAGTGAGGTTTAATTCCCGTAGTCTCTCCTCGTAGTTCATACCTCTCAGCTCGGGTTCTAGTCTGGTGGCAAACCTTTGAACCTTTTCCAGTTTAGTCTTATCCTTGACTAGATGTGGACTACATGATGGGGCTGCATACTCCAGAATTGGTCTGACATATGTGGTATACAAAGTTCTGAATGATTCCTTGCACAAGTTTCTAAAGGCCGTTCGTATGTTAGCCAACCTGGCATATGCCGCTGATGTTATCCTCTTGATATGAGCTTCAGGGGACAGGTCTGGCGTGATATCAACCCCCAGGTCTTTCTCTCTCTCTGACTCTTGAAGTATTTCATCTCCCAAATGATACCTTGTATCTGGTCTCCTGCTCCCTACACCTAGCTTCATTACATTACATTTGCTTGGGTTAAACTCTAACAACCATTTGTTCGACCATTCCTGCAGCTTGTCCAGGTCTTCTTGAAGCCTCAAACAGTCCTCCTCTGTCTTAATCCTTCTCGTAATTTTGGCATCGTCAGCAAACATTGAGAGAAAGGAATCTATACCCATACATACCCATACAATTTACATATACAGTATCAGAAACAAGATAGGACCGAGTACAGAGCCCTGTGGGACTCCACAGGTGACTTCACGCCAATCGGAGGTCTCATCTCTCACTTTAACTCTCTGCTTCCTATTGCTCAGGTACTCCCTTATCCCTGGAGCGCCTTACCAGTTACTCCTGCCTGTTTCTCCAGCTTATGTACCTGCCTCTTATGCGGTACTGTGTCAAAGGCTTTCCGACAATCCAAGAAAATGCAGTCCACCCATCCTTCTCTTTCTTGCTTAATCTTTGTCACCTGATCGTAGAATTCTATCAATCCTGTAAGGCAAGATTTACCCTCCCTGAACCCATGTTGATGGGTTGTCACGAAGTCTCTTCTCTCCAGATGTGTTACTAGGTTTTTTCTCACAATCTTCTCCATCACCTTGCATGGTATACAAGTTAAATTTGTGTGTGTGTGTGTGTGTGTGTGTGTGTGTGTGTGTGTGTGTGTGTGTGTGTGTGTGTGTGTGTGTGTGTGTGTGTGTGTGTACTCACCTCGATGTACTTGCTGGCTCGCGGCCAAAAAAACATATAGATTCTCTTCACAAAGAGGAAGAAATCTTTTCTTCTTTTCTTATCTTTTCAACAAATCTACAATTACAACTAACAGCAACTGACATTAACTACTCGGTGTTAAGAGCCGCGAGGTAGATGAAGTGTCTGGGGTTGTGTATACACCAGATCCCATGCACTTCTTTGTGTATACTGTATACTAGTATAATCCGTAGGAGCCGTGATGACGATTCGAACCTATGTCAATCGGCCTGATTGTCTGGGACGTGTGAGTGGGACTACCCACCGCATAGATTCGAATTATCTTCATAACTCCTACGGATTTTCTCATATCAAGTGTTATCATATATATCCAGAGCAGAAAATCAAACTTCTCTGATAGTTTTAATATTAGGGACGACTTATATACAAAAAAATATAATGTTTCAGTAATTATGTATCACTGTAATGTTTATTAAAGCACCTAGAAGGGATATATATATACACTGAGAGGTATACCCAACTTCTTGGTGAATATACACCTAGAGTATAATTTAGTCCTGGACAATGTTCAGGACAAAAATTTACTTGCTGGCTGGTCAGTAAACTCGTCAGGTGGTTTTAATAACCCTACAGTTGTAAATAGGTCTTAATAATCGTCGAGTGGGTGATACGTCTTAATAACTCTCCAGAGGTTGATAGGACTTAATAACTCTCCAGAGGTTGATAGGCCTTAATAACCCTCCAGAGGTTGATAGGCCTTAATAACCCTCCAGAGGTTGATAGGCCTTAATAACTCTCCAGAGGTTGATAGGCCTTAATAACCCTTCAGTGGTTGATAGGCCTTAATAACCCTTCAGTGGTTGATAGGCCTTAATAACCCTCCAGAGGTTGATAGACCTTACTAACCCTCCAGAGGTTGATAGACCTTACTAACCCTCCAGAGGTTGATAGACCTTAATAACCCTCCAGTGGTTGATAGACCTTAATAACCCTCCAGAGGTTGATAGGCCTTAATAACCCTCCAGTGGTTGATAGGCCTTAATAACCCTCCAGAGGTTGATAGACCTTACTAACCCTCCAGAGGTTGATAGACCTTAATAACCCTTCAGAGGTTGATAGGCCTTAATAACCCTCCAGTGGTTGATAGGCCTTAATAACCCTTCAGTGGTTGATAGGCCTTAATAACCCTCCAGAGGTTGATAAGCCTTAATAACCCTCCAGAGGTTGATAGGCCTTAATAACTCTCCAGAGGTTGATAGGCCTTAATAACTCTCCAGAGGTTGATAGGCCTTAATAACTCTCCAGAGGTTGATAGGCCTTAATAACTCTCCAGAGGTTGATAGGCCTTAATAACTCTCCAGAGGTTGATAGGCCTTAATAATTCTCCAGCGGCTGAAAAGCCTTAATAACTTTATTAATCTTGATAAGGTTTATACAATTCTGGAAGGTTATTAACGCCTGTAAACCTCTGTAAGGTTATTGAGGTTCATCAACCTCTGGAGGGTTATTAAAACGCATCAACCACTTGAAGGTCATTTAGCCCTCTCCCTCTCTGGAGAGTTATTAAGGCCGCCACAGTATCATATTGACCAACCAACAAGAACACTTTGGTCCTGAACATTGTCCAAGACTAAAGTAAACTCATCGTATATTCACCGAGAAGCTGGGTATACCTCTCTGGGTGTACATGTATCCCTTCCAGGTGCTCTGTAAATATATATGTGATATATATACTCTGTGTAGCGTTAAAGAATTTAGGTAATATCACATGATGTATAATTTCGGCGAACCTCAAATACTTGAAGATATTAATTATCGTTATAAAAACAGTAAATTTTAACAATTTTCACTTTCATTGACAAATTTAGCTTTCATCATTTAGCAAAAATGTATTTATTTTAGATGTATTGAAAAGTTTAGCAAGTTTAAACAATTTTATTTGTTGTTACCATAATTACATGGGATTTTGTTACTTTAAGCAGTAATTTAAAATATATTACATACTCGTCTGATCGTTGTTATATTTATTTATTTATCATTTAATAAGTGATGCGCTAATAGGAAATTTATAGGCCTCAATGTCCCGCTCCCCTTCGTTAAAGGTGGGACAATTGGCCTGTCAATTGACACCTTATATATGTTAACTAAATGTACTATTGCATTGTTGAGTGTCGGCTCTTGAGCCCTGCCTTTCGGTCATCAGTAGCTTAGTACATTGACCTATTTTTGACTAGTTTTCCTTGAATTATTTGTATTAAAACTGCGCTTCGAATTGGCCTCTACCGCTTGCTCATTAAGTCCATTCTTATGATTCCTAAACTTCTGGAGTTCATTCTTGTGTGTCTTTGGTTTCATTGATGACTTCTCTTGGTGTACAGTTTCTCACTCTGCGCATTGTTAGTCAACTCCGCTTGTTAACTTGTATGTCGTTATCATGTCTCTCCAGTGCCATCTTGACACTGTGGTGGGGGGGGG